AAACTCCTGCCTCGTCATAAGTTCTTCTGCCTAAATCTTGATGGATTGAAGTGGTTCGGGGCTAGGATATAAGAATATCTGTTCCATTGTTTCTTTTACTTTTGATTCTGCTACTTTCTGTTATATAAAGTTTTGGGATTCCATATATTTTTTTCTGTGGAGGGGTTGTGCTTATTATTAGAATTGTTGGACTTTGATATTGGGGATACTTTCGTTTTGTTTGTTTGTTGTTAAACTATCAATGGGGAAGCCCACCGGTAAGAAGAAGGATCCTGTAACACATAAGGCTGCGCATGCAAGCGGCAAGCAGAGCAAGCCCTCTGAGAGGACTTCCAAAGCTTTCGACGAAGACACGGCAATCTTCATCAACATGTCACAGGATCTCAAGGAAGAAGGCAATAGACTCTTTCAGAAAAGGGATCATGAGGGGGCTGTGTTGAAGTATGAAAAGGCCCTCAAGCTCCTTCCCGGAAACCACATAGATGTGGCACACTTGCGTACCAATATGGCTGCGTGTTATATGCAACTCGGTCTTGGAGAATACCCTCGAGCAATCAATGAATGTAATCTAGCTCTTGAAGTATCACAAAGATATAGCAAGGCTCTATTGAGAAGAGCAAAGTGCTATGAAGCATTGAATCGATTCGATTATGCGCTCAGAGATGTTAATTTTGTTTTGACCGTGGAGCCTAATAATCTCAATGCATTGGAGATTCTTGGGAGTTTGAAAAAGACCATGGAAGAAAAAGGCATCACTATTGATGAGAAAGATTTGGCAAGTTTGGAGCAACCTACCGCTGCCCCTGTGAGCAAAGTGGTAAGAGAAAAAATAAAGAAAAAGAAAAGTAAAAAGAGTGAGAGCAAGGCAAAGGATAAGGTGATTCTTGAGGATACTGCGAATGCTGTTAAAGATAAAGAAGTGGTGTCAAAAACAATTGCGAAAAAGGAAGTGGTTCTGGAGCCTGTTAAAGAAGAAAAAGTAGTCACAAGGACGGCGAAGTTGGTATTTGGAGAGGATATAAGGTGGGCGCAGTTGCCATTGAATTGTAGCATGAGGTTGGTGAGGGATATAATTAAGGATCGATTTGCTGGATTGAAGGGTGTTCTTGTTAAATATAAGGATCAAGAGGGTGATTTGGTTACCATCACTACTACTGATGAATTAAGATTAGCTGAATCTTCAGGTGATGCCTTGGGTTCTCTTCGGCTCTATATTACGGAAGTCAATCCAGAGGAGGAACCGACTTATGATGGAATAACCAATGGGGATGAGATGCCAGGTGATGGTATTGAGCATGCGCCAAAGGAAGCAGGCAAGGATTTGGCGAATAAGCTGACTAATGTGGAGGATTGGATAATCCAATTTGCTAGGATGTTCAAGAACCATGTTGGGTTTGATTCTGATTCATATTTGGATATGCATGAGGTGGGAATGAAGCTATATTCAGAAGCCTTGGAAGATGTGGTAACGAGTGACGATGCTCAAGAGCTTTTTGAAATCGCTGCAGATAAATTTCAAGAGATGGCGGCTTTGGCATTATTTAATTGGGGTAATGTTCACATGTCCAGGGCAAGGAGGCGTGTTTCCATTTCAGAGGATGGGTCAAAAGAATCTGCTCATGAGCGAATTAAAGCTGCATATGAGTGGGCAAGAAAGGAGTACAAGAAAGCAGAGATGAGATATGAAGAAGCCTTGAAAATGAAACCAGACTTCTATGAGGGATTTCTGGCACTTGGCCATCAGCAGTTCGAGCAAGCAAAGCTCTGCTGGTATTATGCATTGGCATGCAAAATGAATTTAGAGGATGGCCCTTCCAGTGAGGTTTTACAACTATATAACAAGGCAGAGGACAGCATGGATAGAGGCATGCTGATGTGGGAGGAGATTGAAGAGCAGCGTTTAAATGGACTATCCAAATTTGATAAATATAGAGCGCATTTGGAAAAAATGGGCTTAGATGGTCTTCTCAAGGATATTTCTTCTGATGAAGCTGCAGAGCAGGCTACAAATGTGAGGTCCCAAATATATATTTTATGGGGCACCATATTGTATGAGCGTTCTGTTGTGGAATATAAGATTGGCTTATCTTCATGGGAGGAATGTCTGGAGGTTGCTGTTGAGAAGTTTGAACTTGCCGGAGCTTCTCCAACAGATATAGGGGTCATGATAAAGAATCATTGTTCCAATCAAACAGCACTAGAAGGTATGGGATGTTGAAAATGATTGTGTATATTTCACCTGTTGTCCTTCAGGATTAGAAAATATAACTGACAATTTTCATAACCACAGGTTTGGGTTTCAAAATCGACGAGATAGTACAGGCGTGGAATGAAATGTATGATGCTCAGAGGTGGCAATTTGGTGTACCATCGTTTCGCCTTGAACCACTGTTCCGGCGGCGTGTTCCGAGACTTCATCACATCTTGGAGCATTTTTGAGTTTTCTTCAAGAGCTTGAAATTCTTTGGAGGCATATATTCATGCCTCTGTTTCTTAATATTTGTGATGGCTTTTTCATCCCATTTAAAACAGGTAAATTAGATTGTGCCTTTTGTTTCCCTTTTTCCTGACTTCGTGATTGTTCCAAAAAGGTATTTTGATGTGGCATTCATGAAAAGAGTAGATAATGATAGCTGAAATTATGTTTTCATGAACAATAGAAATTTTTGGAAAGCGCTTTTCCTGTTCTGAAATATTTCTGTATATGCTTCTGGTAACCTCAATAGGATTTGTATTTCTGTTAAATTCCTGAAGTGAAAATCGCAGAATGCTTCTGGGAGATTACATTTCAATACTCACAAAGGTGCTGGAGAAAATCCCTGTAGAAGTTGCATAACTCTTCGTTTATGTGCATTGGCAATTAGGCAATTTGTGAATTGCCCATAAATCATAATGTAAACTTACTTGCATCCTGTTGATCTCAATCCTGTGAAACCTGTTTTGAAACTTGTGCTAGTGATTTTAAAATAGGGGTGTTGTCATGTCAAGGGTCTGACAAGATCCGGGTTAAATGGTTGCCTCTGGTTGCGGGAAAAGTTCAAACATGCTGTTTGTGATGTGATTTTTCACACAGCTATGAAAAGTTTGCAGTCTGCCAACTTGTTTAAGTTCGCAGGGCTTTCGTACGCTCATGGATTAATCGTCTCTCGAGACATCACTGTAAAAGCGTGTTATATCTGAAGTTTTGGGCATATATACTTTTGGCAATGCAAGGGGACATGTGTCGTTGCATTGTGTTGACCAACAACATTTGTGAGAACAATGTTGATGCTCTGTTTTCTTGGATGATAGAGAAACATAGTGAAACCATATGTCTTGAGTTTGTGTGCTTTTCGATTGTACAGAGAATTTTTTTTCAATGTTTCAAGCAACATTTGAAACATGCTTGCTTTCCTTGTTTGGTGTTTTCAATTTCACCATTGTTAAAATCATGAGGGTGTACTGAATTGATGGATTTCTTGTCTTTTGATTGCAGGGGTATTTTTTACTCTCCCTTTTCCCCCCAAGAGTGCTTTGTGTAGCCCAATGGTTGGAGCTATGCTTGTATTTTGTTTTGGTGTTGGTCGTGTGTTGTATTCTTGAGGAGGCTTGCTGCGAGGTTGCTATTCTTTATACATAGTTGGGAGTGATGGTGTGATGATTTCATTTGTCATTTTGAGATGGTGAATGATTTGATTTGGTCAGTTTGCTGCATAGTTGGAGTCAATATTGTTTTGTGAATTGTAACAATCCATGGGTGGTAGATGGCAGGATACGGTATTGTTTTTAAAGCATGGAAATAAATACTTTTCTTTCATTATAGTTGTCAATATCAATATAAAATATAATATTTATAATAAGCCATATTATTCAATGCTGTGGCGGGAATGCTGGAGGATAAGGCTTCTTAGCTAATGCTAACTCGATTTTTCTTATCTATTCTATTAATTTTTACTCTTCTGATCCTATTTATAAGGTATTTTCAGCATGTTTTACATAAATTAAGAAAAACTTTAAATTTCATTAACTCTTATTTAAAATTTAATGACTTTTTAACTTTATACCTATTTAATATACATTATGCCTCATATAAACAAAGTCAACACAATAATAAATGAGAGATAAAATTACATATTCATACAAAAAATTTCTCTCAATGTCTTATAAATAGGATCAAAAAATATATTTTTTTGTTATATAAATAGAACCAGAGGAGTATATTTTAGCTATCAATCTTGAAGCTATTTTTTTGGCACTCTACAAGTCGATAGATCTGAGCCATATGACTTTGTTTTGGAGATCGCTCTGTAGAGTTAGTCATGATATTGAGAACTGCTTGTAACATTGTGCTATACATATTGCCTCTTCCCGAGCAAATAAGCATCTTAGTTATAGTTCTATTTTAAACCCTATTCTAAAGGAGAATCAAAAACCAAAATTTTGGTTATATTTTATGGAAAAAAAAAATGATATTCAAAGACCTTTTGAGAACATCAATGACATACTGAGAACCTTAATATTTTAAAATTAAAAAACAAAGGCATTAACATCGTTGTAATGTTTTTGGGTTAATATTTTTAATACTTGCTTTGAAGCCCACTTGTTTTGTCAAACAATTCTTCCTTTTATTGAGCTTCTAAATTTACACCATTCTGTTCGTTCAATTTTTACAAAAGAAAATTATTAGGGACTGAATTTATATGAACCTTAAAAGACCTAGGTCTACAGAGTTTGGACTGGAGGATTCTTGTTTGGACTGGACTGCAAATAAGAAATCATGTTATGGATTTTAAATAAGGTTTTGTTATTAAGCTTCAAGACATTAAATTTATAAAAAATTTTGTCTATATTTTTTTCACTTAGTCCAACAGCTTTCGATCTGAAAATTTTTCCACGCATTCAAATTGTTAGCATTAGTTAATGTTGCACGTTGTCCTTGGACAAAATGATGAAGGAAATTAAAATTAAAATTAAAAGCCATTAAAAACGATAAATGAAGAGCAGCAGAGAGAGGGAGACAATTAAAGCGCAATGACATCCATTAGAAGCAGATAAAGAGGAGGTATAAGCAGGGGCCATCAATTTTTTTTTTTCAGAGTTCGGGCCTTCAACAAAGGCCCCAGAAAGATTTCTATAAAACTAATGCAACAACTGAACTATTGGGCCGATTTATTGCTCCCTGGATAAACCATGTGCAAGTCTTATCCCCCTCAATTCGCATCAGACTAAACGACTCCCACACCACTGGGTTCTGCTGCCTCCTTGTCATCACGTGCAAGTGTGGGCCACTTAGGTCCTGGCTCAGGAGGCTCCATCACATAGACATTACCATCTGAAAGCCCCACAGCAAACTGGCCTGCCGTCACGGGATTTGCCGCCATAGCAAGTAGGGATATGCTCTCACTGCAACCACCAAATACATTGTATTAATATCAATGCACAAAGTCCTAGAATACTTGGCAATCTATCCTGAATCGTGATGATTGTGGTACTGTAATGCAAATATCACTTTTGGCTTATCTCGAGATTTTGACCAGACTGGGGAATGGCATACCTTGAAGTGTGGGGCAGGTAAGCAGTGGGATCTATCTTGCAAAGAGGCTGAAGATTTAAACCATCAAATATGGTGATAGTCCCATCCACAAATCCGGCATATATGTCCGTTCCATCAGATGAGAAAACTGCCTGGGAGATAACCAAAGGGAGTACCGGAACCCACTGCTATGAAACAAGAGCCATATTTAGTCATTTCATAACATCCATGAAGAAAAGTTCATCATATAGGACGGGAAGTATAAGGAACCTGTTTGATACAAGTTAATTCCTGTGCTTCATAAATTGCAAGATGGCTATCTTGTACAACGAGGAAGTTTATCTGTTCCGGGTGAAACTGAATGTGAGTATCAGATGGCACTTCTGGCTTCCTTTGAGCAGGTATCTGCAAGTTCCTTCCTTTCACTTTTTCCCAGCCTTCGATATTCCATAAGCAAATCTGCAAGAAGTCGAAAAGGTAAGAAGTTCATATTCCTGGCCCTTTTTGGCTAGTCATTCCATAATGCCTTTGAACTATTAAAATGAGACAAAGTAGCCAAAGGAAACAGATCCATGTTGGTCAGGAGGGGAAAAAAAAAACATGGGAGCTAGTTCAGAAGTAGTAGCAGTCATATGGTGACAATTGTATTGAGTATTGAACACCAACCTGATTATTAACCTCAGCAGAAACAAGAACATGTAAAGTGTTTGAGAAGGCAAGAGAAGTGACTCTTGTTGAGTGACCTTTGAGCTTTCTGATAACCTGCATATACACGAGTCACGGACAACTGGCTTCAATTTCCTCTGATCACGGGGCGGTGCACGTCTTTCTCTAATCAAGCAAAAGCCACATACCTTGCATGTACGGACGTTATAAATAAAGATGCTAGAATCATCAAAGCCAATAGCAAGCACATTATTATCTTGAGGGTAGAAGGAAATAGATGTCGCCTTAGGTGGTGGGGACATGAAAGTTGTCATAGTCTGTTATTAAAAGCCAACGAGTAGTTTCACGTTAGTTGAATCCTAGCATCATTACAAACAATTAGCAAAAGGAAACACAATATCTCTTAAGGTTACCTTGAATGTCAACATGTTGAACAAAGAGATTAAACCACCTGATGCTGAAATGAGATATGAATCATTTTTTGATATAGCAAAACAGCCTATTGATTCTTCGGGCTTGACACTCCCAAGGTCGTTGCTCATAAACCGCGAGCCATTCCTTGGTTGCCATAAGTGAGGGGAAACTTGGGAGGTTGCCTACATGCGATAACTTATCTTTTATTGTACCGTAAATTAAGACTCCAAATTCAACTCCGGGAGAGGCAAGAACGAACTGGAAGAGGTGAAAAATAAAAATAATAAAAATCTAAGAATGAGTATGAAAGCCTCTACTAACTTGCTCATTCCCTGGCCATTTCCAAAGTACATTTATACCATCTGATGCCAAAGCCAAGATGGCATTTCCCGCGCTGGTGTAAATCAGTCTGACAATCTGTGCTTCATCAGAAAGAAAGTGGTAAGAGTATTTAACTTTCTTATCCAAAAATCTTTTAACTTGTCGGCGCACTTCTAATTTTCAGCCTTCTAAATTCAATTTGAATATATTTAGTCGAGTCCTCAAAGCAGATGCAAAGTGATATCATTATTATAATGAGGAATCTGATGATAGCTAAAACATACTTAATCGTGACATGGAGCTAAATGTATGGTTGAAGCATTATTAACATGTGATGCTGCATCTAGTTATCACCGATGATGCCAATAAAGCAAAAATGGCCAAACCTTATTGACTTTTGGATGAACAGGGAGCTGCATGAACTGACACTGAGATGGTTCAGAAATTTTGAAGATCTTCCAAAACTTCGACGAGTTATTATCTTCTTCGGTTAAATTAGTATTCATGCCTTCCAAGACTTCTTTGTTCTCATTCTGAAAATAAATAAATTATTACTATAAGGTGACTACATGTAAATCCAAGATCATAAAAGAATATCAATAAAGAGTGCACCAACTAGATGATTGGGATCATTTGTTTGCATATAACTATATATCATGCTTCTATAGGGAAACAGACAGAATATTAATGAACCTCAAATTTCATAATCTACGTCTAGTAGAAATTCAAAGCTTACCACAAACTATGAAAATGCCGCCATTTCTGGCATTAACAATGGCATCAACCAAAGATGGACAACATGCCAGAAACCAGACGGTTAAGGGTTGAGATGCAATATTCTCACCTCTGCTGAGGTTTCAGAGAGAACAGTGGGGGCATGAATAGAAGGCGCTTCATTTTGCATCAGTAAAACATCATAATCAGGTTCTAAGATTTTGATTTTATTTTCGCTTGCAGCAACAGCCAGCAGTCTCCCCTCCTTGTTGAAGCGAATGCAAGGATATTCCTGCACAAACGAAGCTCAACTGAGAGTGACTTTTCCATGTCAAACATTTCCTTAGCCACACTTCTCTAAAAATATTCTGATCCAGGATCAAGCCCCTCAAGTATTTACGATCTTCGATCACGGAATGTTCATTTTATGGCTTTGGTCAAATCATTAACATGATTTTCAAAAAGGTCATTGAGGTGATTACCAGCAAACCCCCTTCGGCATTGGTGCTTGCCAATAGCTGTACGTTGTCCATATCCCAATATTTAACCATATGATCATCACCAGCAACCAAAAATTGGTTCCTCGTCGTATCAAATTGGATTTTTGAAGAGCATGGAGCCTTAAGTCCTTCGTAGACTCTTTTTATGTACCCTTCACTTTCATCCCATTCCACAAGAAATGGCTCTCCATCCTTGCCAACACCACATGAAAAAAGCCTACATAAAGTTTTATAACAATAGTTACACAATAGTCACATATTCATTACCACACAGACGGCAACTAATTCAATAAAAAAGGGATTTCAGTTGCTCACAACCTTTGATCGTTAGTGCTGTAAGCCAATTTAGTGTATCCACAACCAGGGGCGTCATAATCAACTCTGGGGCCCATAGTATCATATAACCATGCCTTGATCTTCCCATCGATTGAAGTTGAAAATATAAACTGAGGGGTAGGAGAACAAAAATCACAACATACAAAAAAATCAGCGATACATGCAACCAGTTAAAAAGTAATGAGATTGTGTTCAATGGCAAATAATCCAAAGCATTGTTACATGAACATTTTCCTTCACATGAGGACAGATGGAACAAACTGGAGCATTGTGACCACCAAAAACATAAAACCGCTCACCGGTATCCGCATCCCACACCTTCAAAACAGCGATGAACACATCAGTTTCTTTATTACTCAAAACATTTATCATTTGTCCAGTGAACTTACCTTTACTGCCTTGTCATCACCACATGTTATGACTAATAGTTGCTCACGAACGAAAGAAAAGGCTATATCATTGACATTGCCACGATGAGCTTCAATCTGAGAAGAAAATATTTAGCATTACATCCAGAAAACACAAATATCACATCTATGAAACTAGAAATTTAGAGGGTTAAAAGATTGTTACTTCCAGATGCTGGCAAATGTCTACTCCACCATTATAGGAATATAACTGAACAAGATGTTTCGAAAATGCAACCCCTATTCAAAATGGGAAAAAAATAATTAGAAGCAAGAAAGAAAAGGGGAAAAAGAAAGTTTGAGATCGTTGATGATTGCTTTATTAGAATTGGTCAAGTAGCTTAACATCCTTACCGAACAATGAACCATCTGAGCTCCAAATGACTTTGTTAACAGAAATCCACAAATCTTTTTCTATGGCTTCCTGGACATCATTGACAATGGTTCCAAAATTAGATTATTTACAGTATGATAACAATTCATTAATGTACAACTTGGTATGGGAACAGGCATACCTTGAAATAGGGTGAACATGCTCCAATGTCCCAAACCTCAAAATTTATAAAAAGCAACTTCTCACCGGATGCAACATCCCAAATTCCTAAATTGCCGATTTGAGTTCCAACTGAAGTAATATATCATTGGTCATATGTTAGCAGTTTTCACTTTTTCAATGCCAAAATTTTCACCAAATTACACAGAAGAAAAAAATAGTCAAATAGCAACATCAAGTATGAAACGACCTAGAAGAACAGTGTGCCAAGTAGGATGAAAATCCATGCTAGTAGGTGGCGAATCATCATTCAGTGTCAGAACAACTTTCCGGGGCAGGTAACTTTTTACGGCCGATGATGTTACCTACACAAAAGGCACCCCATGCATTTAATTCTGCGGACACAAAATAAGAAATGTAAGGAGAGATAGAAAGAAGAAAAAAAAAATTCATCTAGTTGACCTCATTTAAAGCTTTGCAGGATTCCCCCTTGAGTATTTGATTAGGATCCTCAAGAACCTTCACAGACGCTTCTACAGAAAGGGCATCAAAGATCACCATCAACTCCTAGCATTAATGACCACCTTAAAAAGGAACCCATGCAAAGGTCAAGACCCCAAACCTGAACTTTCATTAGCAGTAGGGAAGAGCGAGGAGTCTGTTACAGTAGAGGGGCCACAATCATCACTGTTTACAGGATTTGAGGGATCTGAGCACAGCTTACAAACATGGTCCACAAAGAGGGTTTGTATAACAGGCTCAGGAATAGGATGTTTGCACAGCAGATGTTGCCAATTTAAGCTGACAAATTGAAGATAAATTAGTTTTCTGCAAGTTTCTGATGTTGATAATAGTGTTAAAGGAGGACATGAATGCAAATGATCCAATATCAATTATCAACTTCCACTAAAAGAAATAGAGTGAAACCTTTGGCTAAGAAGACTACTTAACCTCTGAGATTTTATTGCGGGAAATTTCAGCTTCCCATTAAGCAGTGGATTTTCTTCAATGATTGTTTTAAGATCCTCTAGGACAATCTTCCTCACGGAATTTGTGTCTTGGTAGTTTGAAAGTGATTCATGTTCCCTGTTGAGGCCCATAAAGAAATTATGCTCTCTGAAGGACGTTACTGACCATGTAAAAGATCAGTAGAAGGAAATCCATGATTCAGACCTTATATTATTAATTGTCAACAGCTGAGTCATTTCTTTGAGAAGGTCCTCGTGTCCTGGGGCAAAAACTTTGACATCCTTCATCAGGATATCTAGAGCCTTGGAACGATCATTTCTGATGACATAAGTGAAAATGATTACAGCTAGGAACAAACCATGAACAATACAGCTTAATAAGAACAACTAAGGTCCATGGAAAATATGATGGCCAGAAGAAAGTGCCTAGACCGACAAGTTCTGTGTGAAATGAAAAGCTTACGTGTCCAACGCTTCAAGGAATTTCTGTTTCCTCAATTCAAAGTATATTTTGGTGGAGAACCTATTGTCATCAACAGTTGTGAAACAAGATAAATAGGTTTCAGCGTCCTCAAATTTCCCGGCAAGCACCATGTCCTCGAAATGTTTCTTGTCAAAGTAGCACCCGCTCTCACGCTCGAGCCTATAAATGCAGGATAAAGAAAACAATAAGAACCATAAAAATAAAAATTAAAGGAAGGGTGAAATTAAAACCAGAAAGTCAAAGAAACATACATATGTACAGTTTCCTTGAAGCCTTCCTCTTCACAAAACTGTAAAATTAAGAAGATAATCTCTTTCTTGAGGCTGGACATAACCACAATCGCTGTTTGTCTTACAGATTACCAGTTCAGAATATAGGTATATATCTGATAAAGAGGAAAAAAATCAAACGTTTCAGCCAAATCGTACTATCACTCCCAACCAAAATACGAACAAATGCAACGTATGTCTTGGAGAAGTATTCTACCGCTACTTACGGAAAAAAATATCAATTGGCTAGAGAAAACCATTATGAAGGGGGTTTTTGAAAAGTTGAGATTTTTCAAAAGTGGCCTCCTTTCGATTCTTTTCAGTTTTGAACTCCAGAAGAATCAGGTCAGGCTTTTGATTATGCAAATAGGTTCCAAAATTAGACAACTGGAAAAAAGTAATAGCAAAGAGAATGCACCGATTGGATCCGAATCTTTAAGAGCGAATTTATGGGGTAAACATTAGCGCTATCAACAACTGAAAATAAAGACTCTGATCAAAGTATCTTCTTCAATAGTCTGCTACAATCGCCATAATAATTATTGCTCAAATTTAAAAATACGAACTGAAAAGGGTTAATTTGTTGTTCGAAGAATTGAAGACGAAGATAAATGTTTATTAGTAAAAACAGAGGGAGTGGAATAGAAGGAAACAAGAGGAACAGGCAGAAAAAGTTCCTCAAAGCTCGTCGGAATGATAAAGAGAAGCAAATTAAGAAGAAGAAATTGGCTTTTACATTGAAAAAGGAAGCCTGGAAAAGGAAAATGAGACTGAAAGTCTTTACTATGGCTTTCAGAAGGCTTATTTCAGCTCAGATTCTCTGTAAGGGATGGGGGCCATTACGGCCGAGGCTGACCAATTTATAGTCGGCGCTGTAAGGGAGCGATGATAAGTGTGTGATAAGAGCAATGAGCTATCAATGTGGCTCTGGGGCTACAAGGGTCAACGTCTGGTCGCATGCCGGTGTGCCGCACGCAAGCGCAGATGGTTTTTTTGGAATAAGAGCCGCCCCATTAAATCACGTCGTTTTCAGCCAAAAAGAGGAAATAAATTTACAAATGAAAATAGAATACCTCGTGCCGGTTCTTTCTGCCCTTTCGGGAAAAAGAAAGCAAGCCCTCAATTTATGTTTTATTTGCCATAATAGTACTCCATCAATTAACTGCCCGGTTAGTTTCCTAATCACTGATAGAAAGGACAAAGATTCTGGACGCTTCTTCTTTTTAGTATTACTAAATTTAGCCCCTAACATAAAACTCGGGTTTCGGGTTTTTCATTAACCCTCTTCCTAATCAAGAAACCTTAATAAGGGAAATCTGGATTTTCTTTAAATCCACATTGAACCATCTAGCCTTGTGGATTACTTAGCTCAGAATCTCAATTCGCAAGGCTCCGTTACAAAAATCATTATTAATTGAACACATGTAAAACTCCAGGGCACAGAAGCCACTAGCAAACCGGGATTAAACAACATAGGGCAGTCCGAATTTACTAACAGAGTCTGGCTTCATGATTTTGATATTAACTTAGGCACACAGTAGAACTGGATATTTAAAAACAGAAGGCAGGAAAAACTGTCTAGGTAGAACTTACATACACATATATAAGCACAGCTACTGAATTTCAATCCCTTGAATATACTGAATTGAGATTCCAAAAATTTGGCAAGCTGGATATAGAAATATGCATATGGATATATATATATATATATATAAATAATTAAGTAGTTGCTTCGTTTCCATTCGTAGAGCCAGACATGTAGAGACAGAAGGAGTCTTGTTCTAGCTAGTTGTTTCCATGGCGATTCCGGTACTCATAGAACAATGGATAGAATCTGCGCATGACACCGTTTTCTTCCCTTACCCCGTGCGTACGCCGAATCATTGTCTGTAACGAAGGAAGCTCAAGTTTTCCCTGAAACGTTGGGTTGGCTCTGATGCATTTTTTCAGCTCCTCCACCACAAGTCTCCTTGTTCCTGGATTCTCAATTTCTCATACCTTATCATCGCATGATGAGTCCTACAGACACACACATACACACCCCTATACTGTTATATAAGTACAATCTCCACTTTCACTACATTCTATATATAGTACTCTTCCGGTTCTAAATATAAGACTCCTGTATATACTAGTGTAAGAGTTTTATATTAAGGACCGGAGGAGTATAATATTACAATGCACCTGTAATTCTCCATGGAAACCAGCTCCAGTGCTTGAACATATATTTGATCGTTGTATACTGTGAACTGAGGGAACTCATGGTTCACAATTTCCCTGGCATAGCGTCTTGCTCCACTGTGAATATATCAATTCAACAAATCATGTGTGTGTGAAAGTAAGTACTACTTGATTGAAAAAGACTTTTTTGCAAGTCATTAGCCTTGTAGCTTATAATCTTAGGCAGTTAGTGTTTGTTCTCTACTTAAAAAAAGAGCCTTTAAACAAAAAGTATTATACGTGTGGAGGGGTTCCAGGAGCCTGAGCTTCTTGATGTCGAAGATTAGTTTGGCAGAGCATCTGTTTTCTTCCACGGAGGTGAATCCGACGACATAATCTTCAGCCTCATCGTAACGACCAGCTAGCTCCTCGAAGTATGGAATGTGGAAATAGAAACCACTTCCACGCTCCAGGCTGCAAAACACACACGACGATCAAAATTATCAAATCAGTGATTCATCTTTAACCCAGTGAAAAAAATACAATCGAAAATCGACAGAGAGAGAGAGAAGGAAAACCCATCACCAATGTGCAGTCTCAGTGAAGTCACGTTCAATCAAATGTCGCAGCACAAGGACGAGGATAACATCGTCATGAACCTCAGGGTTGATAGCCATTGTCGCTGTTATCCTTTCTCTGGTCCCAAATACCCCAACGAAACCAAAATTAAATCCGAATCTTAGTACAAAGACAATACACGCGCGCGCACAGCATATGAAAAAGAGAGGGAAGAAGCAAAAAGACAAACTAAACAAGGAGAAAAATAAAAAGAAAACGGACATAAACAAATTAAACCAGCGGAAGCTGATGGAAATAAATGTGTGATAATGCAAATCTGATTGCGTGCGTTGACGAAAAGAAAAGATTGATATCCTTATCATGAGGGCCCAATACCAGAAAATTAGAAGGATGAGTTGGTAAAAGTCAAAAGCTTATGTCTGGATAATGAAGACAGGTTATGAACTCAAATGGTAACTAGCCAGAGGAGGAGGAGAAAGAAATGCAGAGAAAAGCAGAGATATAAAAGTGCAAAGAGGAGCTCACAGGAGAAGCTAGATCTATGGAGAAGGGTATGCATGAAACAGTGTTGAGAGGAAGCAGGTATTTATAGGGCCACCGTACAGTGAAAACCGACCGCCTCAATTAAGGACCACTCCGGCACTAAAGACTAATTTTATAATATAAATTATATTATAAAATAAATATAAAAGATAAGTTTCTTGTTATAAAATAAGTTTTATATTTATTAAACACAGATTAGAAAACCGGAAAAGCTGCTGGGTATAAAAACACAGAATGTAAGACGGTCCCATGTGAGAGCCAGCCATCGCCTCAGGCGTCTGTGTAGTACGCGCTTCATATATGCCTCTGCCAACGACACCCACCCCCAAAACCAAATAATATGGGGCAAAAAATATAAACGAGGTTGTTTGCTTCAGCTTTTCTATCAATCTTGAGCATGTAATTTTTCACTTATCTGCAAAAACATTAATGATAAAAATTCATTATTTATCATCACATTCACTGTATTCATCATGAGAAGATTTGCTGTGTATATCTAAATTTATGATAATTACTGGTTGTTTTAATAACATATTCTGGTTCTATTTATATTGCGGAAAGAGAAGTTATTTTTTGTCCTATTTATAGAGTATTAAGAGAAATTTTTTGTATAGATATACAATTTTACCCCTCATTTATTATTGTATTGATTTTATTTGCATGAGATATAGTGTATATTACACAGATAAAATTGAAATATTGTTGAATTCTAAAAGGGAATTAATAAAGTTTAAAGTTTTTCTTAATCTATATAAAACATGCCAGAAGTGACTTATAAATAGGATTAGAAGATTATAACAGCGCATTTCTATTTTAAGCATCTACAAGGCACAAAAATCTTATTGTTATTGTTATATCAGACAAAAACAAGGGTAAAATTATTTAATTTTTTTAACAAAATAAATTAATTGTCAATACTTTATGATGTGAAAGAAGTTAAGTTTATTAATTTTGTTTTTTCAGTTGATTGAGCTTAATGAATTCTTATATTAATTAATCAGGATTCCCCTTTGAGGGCTTTTAATTTAATGATAGGTCTATAAGCATGTTTTAGTTGATATTTTTCCATGTATAAGAAGACTTAATTAATAAATGTTTGTTTAAAAAAAAGGAAAAGAAAACATGTTTTATGATATTTTTTTGGAGAAGAAACGGTATTACTATGTTTGTAAATTAATTATGAATAGGATAGGCTCCTATGCATATTAGGAACGCATTGGATACTGATTTTTTTTTCTTTTGCTTACTTGTATAATATGAAAACATAGTTTTTTAATTTAGTTTTATTTGGGTGCCTCCGTATGAATATGAATCATATTTTCTGGCCAGAAAAAAAAAGAATATGAATCATATTTGTTAAAACTAATAAACACATTATTTGTGTACTCCAAAAAATTGAATTTAACATATAAATTATATTATTTATAACTTATAAATAATGTTTTATTTGCCAGAGCATAAATAATGTATTTCGCTATTTAGATTATTTATATTGTGTACGAATAGTTACAAATTGTTTGGATTTTAGGATAGTCACATCTTAAAAAATAAAAAATATTATATATTACGGGTAAAGGTTAATTTGAACCGGTCTGACTCGATAAGGCAAAGACAATATAAAAAATTTAGAACTGAACATAAATATGCATATATGTGTGTGTGTGTATATATATATATATGTGATTTCTAATTCTTAAAATAACCCTTGGCTCCTGGCCTGCTACCTATACCATACTCTATTTTGAGGCGCGTAAGAAATACTGACTAAAAACAGGAGGACACAACAAACTCCGGCCTAGAAGATTGTGACCAAGGAAGGAACAAAGTTGGTGGGACCCACACCACGTCATACTGAAACAAACTTGGGAAACGCCTTCGCCCCACCGCCCCTCACGTGCCGCGACGCTCCAAATGTCGGCCCATGATGTTCCTCGTGACCTCCCCAGCTCAGCAAACCGGACCACGCCCAACTGGAATTTTGCAATTCAATGTATTGTTTGTATAAACTGCTCTAAAGCAATTAAATGTATGTAATTAGTCATTAATTTTGCTGGCTGAATCTCTCTTATTAAATGAGCATTCATTGCATTTCATTGCCCCGCATTTAATAAGGCACATTGCATTAATTTTCCTAAGGAGTGGGCCCAGTTAATTAAAAAACAAAAACATTAAATACCAATCCACTAGTTAATATACTTCTCATATCCTATTTATAGGGTAGAGGGATAAGACATTTTCCAATCATATTTATAACGTATTGAGAATTTTTTTTTGTATTGATATACAATTTCATTTTTCATTTATTATTATGTTAATTTTGTTTACATGAGGTATAATATATATTAAATATGGATAAAGTTAGAAAATTATTGACGTTTAAGTGAGAGTTAATAAAGTTTAAAGTTTTTTTTAGTCTGTATAGAATATGT